ACCTCCAGGGATGGAGTGAAATCAGCCTCTTCATCTATGCTCCACAGAGGGGTGCTAGAGCAGGGGAACACCATTTCTCTCATACAGTGCCCCACCTAACACAGACTATCCCGAGAGCAGGTGAAGAAATGGCAGACTCCACTCCATCCCCAGAGAAGTGGGCGGGCAATAAAAGAAAACTGATTCTTCTTCAAACATGATGCACTACATCTTACAAGCAAATACACATGGCAGGTGAAAACCATCATTGCCTCCCCTTTCTATCTGAACAAGGCTCCCTCAAAGGTCTGACCTCTCTCTTTTAGTGGTCAGACACTTCCATCAAGTACCCCACTCTTTTGTAGGCTGGTTACAAAGTAAAGTATTAGTAAAAACATACACATTACAGTATATTTTTAATCCAGGTTAGTATAATGGCCAAGTTCATGATTCAGTTATTCTTGAAAACATAAGACTTAAATATAGTCATGCATACAGGTGGCTAAAATCAAAGTCTCCTTTTTGAAAGTGTCATGCTACATTAAATCCATGTTTATATATTTACCTATTTAGTCACTGCTTTTTCATTAATCCACACAACAGAAATAAAACCAATGGGTGTATCTGTCTGACAATTGTGAATTTATTCATTTTGGAAAACTTGTACAACGACCCTCGGCTTCTGGCCATCCCAATCACACATACAATGTTTAGACTACCATATGCCTGATGAACCTCATCTCTAAAATTACTGAAGCTAGATACTGTTACTTTATCACCTTAGAAAGCCTAGAATCCCAAAGGAGTTTGCAGGTTTCTGTAGTGGACTTTTAATTTTTTTTAAAGAAGTAAACTGAAAGAATGACTTAAAATGTTACAAGAAATAATGTAGAGACGGATAATTAGGCAGAGTTCGAGGTCACTGATGCGATACAAAATAAACACATGAAATTAAGTATTTCCTAATTTATTTATCATTTTCAATTAACATGAAAAGCTAAGCTTTTCAGTTTTTTACAACTTGGAAATTTCTGTGTTTAAACATATGTACATATCAAGATACTAGAAACTTTATTTTGTATCAATAATCCAATAACTGACTGCATTAAACAGGAGATGAACAGTAACTTCAAAACATGATTATCAAAAGCTTTGTTGAACACTTTGCTGGAGCTTATATTCAACTGCATCTCTGCTTCTAAAATGTGCAATTTACCAACTAATCTATTTTTTCCAAGTTCCAGAATATGCCAGTCCAGATAGTAGATCAGAGAGGCTCCAAAGAGCAAATAGAGCCAGAAAACAAAATTAAAATCCTTAGAACTTCGCTCACTTATAAACATGTATGCTTAGCTGAATGTGCCAAGTTGTAAACTTCTCAAACAACAGTGAAATAGTTCTATAGAGGGGAGAATCTGAATTTATTCTAAAACTAGATCTGGAACTAACCAAGGTTTTATGATGAGAGGTGGGGTAATTCATGACTCACATTACATCACAAACAGGATGGGATTTCCAAACTGGCATGAAGAGACTCAAAAAAGGACAAATTAATATGTAATAAAAGTATAAAAATCTATTTTCAACACCCTTTATACGAACAATAAAAGTAATGAGACTTAGTTCAGGAACTGGGACAGGGTAAACACCTGATTGTGAGAGACTACCTTTACTAGCACCCTCTGAAGTCTGGAAACATCCACCAATTGTACCCTCTGAAAACTATAGCAAAGCACAGATGATTTACACACCTCTAAAAAGGGTGGGAAAGCATTTCCCTTTAAAAAGGGAAGGCACTCACTCTTAAAGAGACTCTCTAGCTACTATGTGACAGCACTATTTCTTAAAACACTCCATCAGTCAGTGGGGTTATAGAATCCTTAAAGGCTTGTGAATCTTTATTATATATATTGTTAAAACACGTTATTTCAGGTAGGGGACAAATGCTCTCCTTCCAACTTGAGTGGAGAAGAGCTTCCTTTATTTCAGAAGTACTGACATATCAAGGGAAGGAAACCTTTGAGATACAAATCTGAAACGTCAGTTTGTAGAAGTAATGAGTTATGAAAACCTTATTTTCAGTTGAATTTCCAAGAGGGGGTAGAGTCAGAATGACCCATTTGACTAATTAAGGAGAAAATTAACAAAACACAGGGAGTTGCTGGCTGCCACTTACGCAGCTCCCATTGGCTGGGAATCGCAAACCCCAGCCACTCTGAGGGCTCATCTAGACTACACTAAAGTATCAAAATTTGCATATCTTCTTCCCATCTCATTTTCTAAAGCGGAGCTTTCTTCACCTCCCTCCCCTCACCCACCCTCCGAGCAGGAAGCGGAGCTGGTGCTCCAGCCTCTTGGCTATCCAGGCTCCACGCAGCATGGGGAAGGGGGTACTGAACTCTCTCTTCCCCTCCCCATCCTGCTGGGGGAACAGCAGTGCAGTGACAGCTGGGGCTTTCCCT